AGGTCCAGAGAAGGGCCACTCATATGATTAAGGGCTTGCAGGCCAAGCCCTATGAGGAGAGACCAGGGCACCTGGCCCTCTTCAGCCTCTGCAAGAGAAGGTTGACAGGTGACCTTGTGGCTGCCTATAAATTCATTATGGGGGCACAGAAGGGAATTGGTGAGGCTCTGCTCACTAAAGCGCTCCTGGGGGTCACAAGAAATAATGGCCATAAGCTAGCAGAGAGCAGACTTAGACTGGACGTTAGGAGGAACTTCTTCACAGTTAGAGTGGCCAGAAACTGGAACAGGCTCCCAAGGGAGGTGGTGTTCTCCCCTACCCTGGGGGTCTTCAAGAGGAGGTTGGATGGGCATCTGGCTGGGGTCATCTGAACCCAGCACTCTTTCCTGTCTATGCAGGGAGTCGGACTCAATGATCTATTGAGGTCCCTTCTGACCCTAACATCTATGAATCTATAAATCACTCATTCAATATTCTATTAAGTACAAGTTAATACTGGAAAGTTTATACTTCAGATACAATCAGGATCTTAATTCAGAAAAGATGACACACAACTTTTGTTTTTTTACTTTACAGAACAAATCTCAAACATCAAATTAAAAAGATGAAAAAAACCTAGCACTTATCCAATCCAGTCTACGGCTAATGCAGGATTCTTCCTTATTGTATATTTTTTAATATTTCAACACATTTAGTTTCTAGGTACCAAAAAGGCAACGGCTCTAATCAATTCTTTAGCCACCTCAGTGCCTCAATTTCTCTCCTGTTAAGCAGCAAGTTCTTCTCTTTGCTCCTTTCTTATTCATGTCAGCTCATAAATAATTCCTCTCCACTTCATAATTTAAAAGGGCTTATATAATACTAACCAATTGCCAGTCATGAATAACAGATTTAAAATAACAAAGGAGTGTAAGCACTCCCTGTGCCACCACAGCCTCCTCCAGCCACCAACAAAACCTCCCATTCCTTGCCTGTGTCTGCCTCCTCCTGAGCAGCAGGGCTCTGCCCCACCTCCCCCGCTTCCCCTCCTGTCCCCCACCTCCCTGCCAGCTGTTGGGTGGGTACATGCATGCCTGCCTCCCATCTGTCTCTGCC